ACAGTTCGCCACCCGAGCCAAAAGGCGCCGTGGAACGCGAGTGAGCGGTCAGCCGAGCGACCTTGCGAGGACAGTTAGGCCCTAGTGTCATTCCGGTCCGGGCGCCGGGGAGCGAGGGGGGTAGGGGAGAGGGTCCAGTCGCGGTCTCGGTTTAACGGGACGTGCAGGTCCAGCATGCGGATCGTCCCGACTACTCGATTGCTCCCTCCCTCCCTCCCTCCCTCCCTCCCTCTCTCTCTCTCTCCCTCTCCCCCTCTCCCTCCCCCTCTCCCTCTCTCCCTCTCTTCATATCCGTTTGTCACCATGTCGCCATCGTAATATACCAGGTGGCCGATTCACGCAGCACACTTTCGTAGTTTTACTGTACCGCATGCACGCGTGTGGGCGGGTTGCCTACTCGCACGGGGCCATAAGGAGCCGTGCTTTGCTTTGCTGCGAGCATTGCTTTGCACTTTGCGGACACTACAATCCTATGAACATTTTTGTTCATAGTTACTGAGTTCTGTAAACATGCTCTGCGTATGCATTTTTTAATGCGCCAGTATGAAGAAATTTGTGCATACTGGCGAAAAAAGTTCATAAGATTTTAGTGTGCAGGAATTTAACAGTGTGCGGGAGAAAAACTTAGTCAGAGATGAGGAAAGAGAGAGAGAGAGAGAGAGAGAGAGAGAGAGAGAGAGAGAGAGAGAGAGAGAGAGAGAGCTCAGCGCCGGCGACGCGCCATCATCGCATCTTCATGAGTTTATTCAACCGGTATGAGGTGAGGGAATACGACATGAGATGAGATGAGATCGCCCCGCGCTGCGGTTCTGCTGGCGTGCGCCACGCGACGCCACGCCGTAAAAAGGGACAGGTAAAAATAGAAGGGACATTTTTTTTCCCGCATTATACACGTTCAGAAAAAGGGACGGTACAGTTGGTAAAATTTATTGCAAGCCACACGTGACACCAGTGCCGCGGGCCGACTGTGTTGGTGCTGCCGCTGAGGTGTGTTGTTAGCAGTGTGGTTGCCTTTTCTCGCGCGGCCCCTTTCTTTTAATAAGAACAACAAGATCGAAGCAAACAGGTCATTAAGCATCGTAATACACTGTGACCTTTTCGTTGTACGGACGGCGAAATCTCAGCAGGGGAGTACGAGAGAGGCCGCGAGAACAGACTTCTGATCGCTGTTTGGGATCGTAAAATCGGTGGGAGACGAGTGGTTGTGCATGGCGTTCGACGTCTATTGAAGTTAACTGGGAAAGAAGACTGTGCTGCTAAGGATTCAACCCTAATGGGATTAAAGTGCATGACATTTGCATACCTAAAAGTACAGTACTTTGTTACTTTTGTTAATCAATTTATTAGAAACGCTATCCACTATGTCATTTCAATATGGTTGTTTTAGGAGAAGGCGACTCAGGTTCATGGTTCATATCGCAAACAAAAGTGTGTGTTGTAGAAGTCCCCCTCCCTTCCTCCCTGGGCTCGGGTAATGATCTTATTACCACGCGATGTTATTAGAGATTAGGATTAGACCTGCTCTGGTCAAATCCTTATATTCGTCCGCGCGATTTCTCTGCGATGCGCCGCATGATTGGTCGTGACCCGGCGTGTTGTGGCGTGGCGTAGTGCACCGGGCACGCCACACACTGCCCCCCCCC